GATCGAGGATCGAAACTTTACATGGAAAATTTAAACCGCCAAATACAAGGATCGATATCCAGGATATCATCCTTCTCCTCTCGAGATTCCAAACTCGAAATTCCTCAACAAATTTTCCAAAATCGGCGACTGATCCGTCCAACATTTTTCATCCATTCGATCCTCAACTTTGCAAAATTATCGAAATCGGGTGTCGAACGATGTCCACAATTTTATCTATCAAACATAAACCTTCGACACACATATATATATATACACATATATATATTATTCCGATAGAAACCAATTCCAATGAACAAAGATCGAGCGAGTGAAATTAATCCATCAAATTCAAACTCAGGGGAAACTTCATTTCATTTGTTCATTATTTAAATATAAAAGTAATATTATATCTACGCGTCATCGAGATATAAACAGAAAGAGAGAGAGAGAGAGAGAGAGAGAGAAGCACTCTCGCGATTCACGTTCGTGAATGGCGAGTGACGAATATATTTCGACGAGCGAAATATAAATGCTGGAGGACGTAAACGAACGAAGTTGAAGAAAAAAGAGAGAGAGAGAGAGAGAGAGAACAATTACAACAAAAAGATCTAACTTAATTTCTATTTTATCCGAATTTTCGGGTCGCCCGGGTTCGTTCCTCTGTCGACACGGTTATTGCGATGCAACGACGTCCCGGATTTTCGCGTTTTTTTCCTCCTGCTTCCCTTTTCCACCTCCCTTCCTCCCCCCCCCCTCCCTCCCTTCTCCCTCCCTCCAGCTCTTTTTCTCTCTTTCACGCCGAGCCAGGATTACTTCGGGCTGGACAAATTGAATTTAACTCCGGCTAATACGCCGGCCAAAAGAGCGCGTATTACGCTGCTTTGTCCCGGCACATCGTGGAAATCAGCGATGATTTGTGTGTCTCCGGCGCCGCGACGCATTTTCCTACTTTTTCATTCGTCGACAGAGGATCGAGATTGAATTTCTTGCCCGTTGTCGCGCTTTTCTCCCTGGTCCGCCATTTTTTGCCCGTTGTCGGGGCCGAACCACGGGGCCAACACCATACGGGTGTGTCGAGAATTCAAAACCTTTAACCGAAAAAAAAAAAAAAATTTCTCTCTCTCGAGAAATTATGCGCTTTCGATATCGTTTCGATTCTTTTGCGCGAGTGAATTTTAATTTTTTCCCATTTTTCTATATATATATATATATATACATATTCCAAGACGCAGACGCTCGCAATTATTGCGATATTAAATTTCGTTTCTCGAACGTTGTTCGCTCGAGAAGAAACGAAGTTGCACGGGTTTTATAATATCGGCGACACGATAACTGAAACGAGCACACCGCTATCGGGGTGACGAGGAAGCCCTCTTGTATCGTTGCAAGGGACAACAATCGATACAAAATTTCTTTCAATTCGACTGATCCGACTGAAAAAAAAAAAAAAAGAAGAATTCGATATTCGAATTTTCGGATAATTAAACGAAAATTACCCGCCGCGAGGAGAAATTTACGACCAACTCTTTTTCTCTATCCGAAATTTCCTCTCGGACGACGTGCAAATCGAAAATCATCTTGTATATCGATTAGAAGATTTATAGGCGCGGGAAAACATGGAATTACGTTGAAAAAGCGGGAATTTCGATTCGATGGGGAAAGCAAGAGTTGATCAGGCGCAGAAATTTGCATCTCGTATCAAAATCGTATCGTTTCGAAGCGAAATGTTTAATGTATTTTCTTGTGTCCTTCTTGTACGCGCGTGTATGTATGAGATGGAGAGAGAAAGAGAGAGAGAAGTTTAACTCCCCTTTCGAAGTTTCGGATCGGTCAAGTTTTCACAAATTCCTTGTGGTCGTTTGTGGCTCACCGATACCAAAAGATTCGAGAATTCGAAACTTACCACGAATGTTTTACTTACGTTGTTCTTTACCGGTTGTTGTTTTTGGTGATTTGCGCGGGCAAAGAGTTCGCGTTACGTATCGATCTAACTTCTATGTAGAGTATGCTCCCGAGGTACGCTACTTTGATTAAAAGTTTCGAAAGTTTAAAATGTTGCCAAGTCGTGAGCCTGTTCTTTCTTTCTCCCCCTTTTTTCTCCCCCGTTCGTTTTACAACGAAATATCTACGGAAGGCGGCATTTCAAAAAAACGATACGCGTTTACGTGTGAGAATTGTCGGAAGTTGCTCTCATATCCGATTTTTCTTATTTTTTCGCGCGAAAATATTGATCTCTAAATTTTCGAAAATTTTCGTACCAAAACTAAATTGTGCAATTCTCGAAACACGAATGAATTGGAATGAAAAGCACAACTGGATTCGGAAAAATATATAAAATAATAATAATCGATTTATCGTAGGCATTTTTCTAGAAACGCAACCGATCTTTCGAGAATCTGGAAAGAGGGGTAACACACGCTCTTTCTCGAGATTATTACTTAACGTTTGGCATACGGTATTTCGTTCTCAGCGGGTTCCTTCCTCCCGTTTCGATCGGTGTCGATCCTTCGTCTATTTTCGATCGACTCGACATTCCTCCCCGATTTCAGGCTCGCTATGGAGCTTCGCGCTTGCCAGAAATATCAATTTGCGCGAGAGAGTGGCAACAGTTTGCTTGATTTGGCACGGCACCGCTTCTACTAGTTCCGAAATAAATCTCCCCATCTCGCACGTGGACCTCCCTGAAAACCGATTGTCCGCTCCCTCTTCTAGACGCGTTAACAACGTCTTCGCCGGATATCGATCGCTTTAACGAATTTCTCCATCCTCCCCAATTTTCGATCGAACATTTTCTTAAAACGTCCACCACTTTGTCCACTTTGAGGTGGGCAACCATTTGACTCCCTTTCGCATCATCCTTTATACACATTCGCTCGTATCCCTCTTCTCTCAAAGTTACACGATTTAAACGATTTCCCTCCGTTACGAAATAATTCGAAACTTTTGGAGGATCGATCTCGATATCGTCGAAACTCACGGTTCGAAAATTTGGAGATATTTCTGGCGCTGATTTCGAGCGCGGCTCGTACGGTTCCAAAGACGCGCTGGAGGATCGGAATGAAAAGGAGAAAGAAAACGGAAAGGAAAACAGTGGGGGAGGGGGAAAGGACGAGGCAAAGACAGAGAGCGACCTATACTCGTCGCTGAATAACGCATGACTGTCTGGCTTGAAATTATAGCATTTCGCCCTCCCCCCTCTCGCACCACCAACCACCCTCCCCCGGCCCTGGACTCGTTCGCTTGTTCGCTGCGCTTTCATTCAATTATGCATCCAGCCTCACCCCGCGTCTCATCCCTCCCCTCCTCTTATTATTATTTTTCCGCGCGTGACCTCGCCCCGACCACGTCTTTTCTTGCGAAACCCGTCGACGACGACGAAACAAGGAGAGCCGGAAACTCGATGTTCCTTTCTCCCCTTCGCCAAATCTGGGCTGGATTCGAACGGGCGCGTTTGTTTCTTCGAAAAATTCGTTGACCTCCCTTTGTGCTCGAAGTGGTGGAGGTTGGAATGGGATGGATTTTTCTGACGATCGAAAATTTGTTTCTGATCCAAGAGTTTTGCGAGTTTCTCTCGTATTGGAGGGGAGAAGGCTGTTTATGAAAGAAATAATCCCCTTTCGTTCGAATAATCGATGTAAACAGACATTAGAAATCTCGTGTGCATGATTTTGTGAATATTATTTATGAACGATGTTGTTTATAGTTTTTTCTTCAATCAGGGATTGACGATAATTGTTAAAAAATTTTCATCGTATCACTTTCTCCTTCTCTTTTCTTTCTGTCTCGATGATCGAGATTCAAAGTGTTAGCGTAGCGATAGAGAGCAATTTATGAATGAGCGATCCGTGACCCAGTGATCCACATATTTTCTCGAAACCGCGTTTGTCGCTTGTCTAGAGTTTTGGCATAGCCAAGGAAAGATTCAAGGATAACGATATACCGGTATACAAAATTACTCCTTCTCTTCGTATCGACTCTCGTACAGTGTCTCGAGAAAAATATAGAAATTTTTTCGAAAACGAATTCCCTTATAAAATATTATAACACGGATACCTTCTCTCTCTCTCTCTCTCTCTCTGCCTCTAAATATCCCTCCGTTATAAATAAATCCCCAATGTTTGACGCACAATCCCTGACTGACTGCTACTCCCTCGTTTTATATAAAGAGTCCCGCGCCTTTTTTCCCACTACACGTGTCTTCTTCTTCGAAAACGCGCGCTTCCCGACGAAAAAGAAAAAAACAACGTGACGACAAAGCCTCCAAAAACTCTCCTCTCGTGACGTCATATCCCCGCACGCGGTGTTTACACAGCACCGGTTTATAAGCGCACGATAATTCGAAATCAAGCGCGCGACGAGTAGGGGGGGGAGGGAAGGCGGAGTTCCACCGCACAGTTTGATCGGTTTTTCGACGAGGTGACGAGTTACGGTTTTACGACGTAAAAATTTCAAACGTTCCGTCGTATCGCCTCTATAAATATTCATGCCGCGACGAAACGCCAATATATATGTAGAGTAACACGAATATGCTTGAAAACGACACGGTTTACAGGTAGCGGCCCGAGTACAAGTCGCGAGAAACAACGCGATCCCTGCGGAATATTCCTACCTCTCTCTCTCTTTCTCTCGCTCCCTTCCTTGTCTTCCTCGCGCGGATTATAGAAGAGAGGGGGGGCTGTATAATTTCGGGCTGGTGGAAGGGTTAGGCAGGTGCAAACAACACGGTGCATTCGATCCCGATCGCGAGGAAAAATGGTAAACGAGCGAGTTGGAAGCGAGCCTCGGGGGCGGAAGTTGCATCGAGGTGGCATCGAGTAAGCCGAGAACGACTGCGCTCGCGTTACATTATTTATATATATATATATATATACGCACACTCTGGTTGGCCGATTCCTGCGGCAACAATGATGTTATCGAAGCATACCTCGCGACACGACTTTTCTCGTCTCGTGGAGAGATCGGCCGCCCGGAAGTGGACAGTATTTACATCCTATTAGCATCCTTGCATTGTGTTACAGGAGAGCGACAATCTTTGGTGGGACGCATTCGCGACCGAATTCTTCGAGGATGACGCAACCTTAACCCTCACGTTCTGCCTGGAGGACGGTCCCAAGAGATACAGTAAGTAACACAAGTGACGATCATTAATTTTTTTTGTTTCTTCCTTCCAAACACGCGATAGTTTATTCGGTTGTTCAGTTTATTCAGGAAACGTGGAAAACGCATTTGCGAGGCTCGGCAAGATACGACGGCCTCCGGTTGCTCGTTTTTCTTTCGGGGGACGACACGTTCTTCTTCACGGTCCATTGTCCCCGCCAGTGGCCCGTACGCACGCACCACGCGCGTTTCCACACATTCTAAATAATTACGCGCCACCGTGGAGCAATTTTGCAACCGGTGGATTTAATGTCCTCCTCGTCCCCTCCGTTTCGTCGCTGAATACACGGCAACAACGTGATTACACGTCGCATCGCGTCGTCATCGAGCGTAAACGACCACGGTTCCGCGGCCGAGCGTTATTGCGACAGTAAGATATTGCGGGATGGATCCACCTCCTTCGATTTTTCGACTTTTTTTCTATTATGATCCGCGTTTAATACTTTTTTCCCCCCTCCTCTTCCACGTTTAAGGAAAACTTTACGAATAATTTTTGGATCTTCCTTTATTTTTGTAAAAAATCGATGTAATAAAAATTTTCTTTTCTTTTCTTTTCTTTTTTTTTTAGTGTAACTAAGTTAGAAACGGAAGATAAAACTACTTGTACATTTTTGCTTCGAGTACGCATAATTTTTGTACGTTTCTGATCACGATTTCTGTTCAATTATGTTTACAGCGATAGGAAGGACGTTAATACCCAGGTACTTCCGTTCGATATTCGAGGGCGGCGTGACGGAACTTTACTACAATTTGAAACACCCGAAGGAGTCATTTCACAATACCAGCATAACCCTCGACTGTGATAACTGCGTTATGGTTACGCATCACGGAAAACCGATGTTCACGAAGGTAAGGGAGGACGGATTGATTGTTTCGCCGACTCGCATCGATTCGTGATTGCATTCGAAGAAAGAAATACACCTTTCTTCCACTTCCGCATAATTTCATGAATTAATTGCATTTCGTAAAAATTTTATCCGGGTATCACCTCTTGTTGTCGCGCGACGTAAAATGAAATTTCTCACCTCACGGGATTGGACGGGAGGGCATCGAGGGCCCTCTCTGTTTATACAGTGTAATTTGAACGCGTATTTGTTCTGCAGGTATGCACGGAGGGTAGATTAATATTGGAATTCACGTTTGACGACCTTATGAGGATAAAGTCGTGGCACATGTCGGTGAGGACGCACAAGGAACTCGTGCCTAGAACTGTGGTCGGTATGCAACAGGACCCGACGATGCTCGAACAGCTTAGCAAGAACATCACAAGGCAGGGCATCACCAATTCCACCCTCAACTATCTTAGGGTACGTATATTTATATCACGATTGCAATCGTAAACGAAATTTTTCTATCTCTTTCGCGCACCGATATTCCACAAGAGCTAGGGTGGAACCTCATTTTCCACGGTATTAATTGAAATAATGGGTGAAAAACGAGTTTATGGATGGAAACCAACCATTCCATTTCTAAAATAGTTGGAATTCGTCGAAATTCTTGTTTCAATTAAATTTTTATCGTACACGTTCGACGAACATTGTAATTGTTCGCGATAGACGATTCAATCGAAATAATAATAGTCGTGTTACTCGATTTCAAAAATTTCAAATATCATTCTCCATATATAATTTCATATTTATAATTTTGAACGATGATATTTTGATACTTTATATATCCAAAGAAACATAAACGTGCACAAACGTTCTAAGAATATTTCATTCGTGTTTACGCTAGTTATATCACATCATCATTGCAAGATTTCAACGAAATCTAAATAATACGTATGGAAAGTTCCAGGAATATATATATATCTCACGTATCGAACGCATCAATCTCCTTCTCGAAATAACTTCGAAATAACACGATTTTTTTACTCCAATAGCAAGATTTCACTTCACTGTTGTCGAGTTATTGACACGATTTGTTCGTGAACGATAAACCTCGTCGAGATGTTCGAGGATACATTCCACTATTATTAATTATTCGCGATAAAGGGTTAAAACGGACGAGGGAATCGAAGCCAAGAAGCCTCTGCGGCTCGGGAAAGTTGCGAGTATCCGGGTTACGATCCACCTTGTTTCGCGCGCTCGGAAGCGCTTTCACTCGCGCCTGTCTCTCTCTCTCTCTCTCTTCTCGAACGATCGTGTCGTCGCTTCGTTAATCGAAAGCCGACAGAGAAAATATCTCTCGCACCATCGTTTCTCTCCTCTCCCGTCGAAACCTTTTATATTTTTCTTCAATTTTGATTCAACTTGGGCGATCGAATTAAATTCATTAAAAAAAAAAAAAAAGAATTACGCAACACGATAACGACGAATCAAAAAAAAGAAAAAGAGTAGCGACACGGGAGGAGAATCGATGGGGAGAGAAATCTCGCCTACTCTTCGCGACGCGCGAATTTATTAATTAAAATGAAATTAAAGTTTTGGAAAATTTTGGCCGGCTCTCTCCCCCTCTGGCGGCGCTTGGCCGCCTCTCTGTCCAGCCGCGCTATCGATTACTTTAATTGTCATCATTATAATATAAAGGCTGCCGTGAAATTACGTGCTTACGATAATAATGTAAAATGGATTCCAGTTTTATTACGGCAAACATAAACCAAATTTAATTTCCCTTGGACAGTGTTCGACGATGCAAGCGCGCGCGGCTCCGTTCCTCCCCTCCGCGCACACCGTTGCGCGAATATATTTTAGGAAGTTTATTTTCAACCGGTACACATACGCACACACCGTATACGATAATTTTCATATTAATAGCGTGCATAAGTTCCCTGTCGAACCCGCGTCGGATTAAATAACAGTCGCATTTATCTTCTGTTTCTGTATAAGCTTGTCTATTTTTACTCGAACGAAAATTATCGAAATATATATATATATATAAATGGATCAACGAATCTCTCTCTCTCTCTCATTGTGTATAGCGTTCTCTTTTTAGTTCTCGTCGTGTCGTGGATTTTTTTTTCTTTTTAGGTCGACCAATTACTTATTTCGAATTTTCATCTTGTTTCCAGTTATGCGTGATCTTGGAACCGATGCAAGAGTTGATGTCGAGGCACAAGGCGTACGCGTTGTCACCGCGGGACTGCTTGAAGACGACCTTGTTCCAGAAATGGCAGAGGATGGTTGCCCCGCCGGGTAAGAGAGGTAGACGAACAGTTGCTTTACATGAGAAGCACCAGCCAGTGGAGCCAAACGGTCGACCAGTCTACCGCAGGATTCGTTTTTCGATCGCTCGACGACGGAATATTCCTCGTCGACTTGTTGCCGCCGCATTCACGGCCCTCGGTTCCAATCGGTTTCTACGGCCAGAACTTTTATTTCCTCCCTCCCTCCCTATTACCTCGTCCTTTATCTCTTCCGCGCCCACACAGCCCCCGTTGGGAAATCGTATTTCGTCGCAATATTTGGGGATAGATTCGTCCGACGGATTCGTCAAATATTTAATCGTCTCTCTCTCTCTGTGTAACAGTAATAGTTTAATAGTAAAATTCATTCGCGGATGCAAAAATGTATCTGAAAATTTGACGATGACGAAAACAACGATTCTTAAAAACTTCGAGTCGAAAATATAAAAGAAGAGAAACGGGGAAAATTCGAGAAGATTTAAAAATGGTTTTTCTCTCTCTCTCTCTCTCTCTCTCCCTCCCTCCCTACTTAAAGGAACGGTAACGAACGAGACGATCTTCCATCCGATTGGCGCGATCGTTGTCGACAGATAGCACCGGTGGCTGATTCTTTTCTTTTCTTTTCTTCTTCTTCTTCTTCTTCTTCTTCTTCTTCTTCCTCCTCCTCCTCCTCCCCCGATCGATGGTTGCGCCGCGCCTCGTCGGCTTATCACGCGTTTTTATCATGCGTATGCGCCGCAACCGCGTTTCCTGTTTCAACCGCGCTCCCCTCTCAATTATCCGCCGACGCCCCCGTGGCGTCAAGGTCGGCGAAATCATGGAACCGAGCGCGTAACGAATCGCAATCGTGCGCGAGAAAGAGAGCGGTGTATCCTCGATTTACACACTTCGATGATGCGTGAGCGTGTTTCTCTGTGTAAAGATACATTCGACGTGAGTGCAGAATACTTCTTCTCCCTCCCCACCCCTCCAAGTAGCTTATCTCTATTTTTCTCGATGAAGGAGACAGAGGCGGGAAATATAAATAACAGTTGATCCATCTCATCGTCTCTTCTCCTCTATCCTCTATCTGTCCACCGATGCATGCATGCTTCTTCTCTGTGTGTGTCAGAGACCTTTGATATTTGGAGAGAAAGGTCCACCAAAGCTGCTGGGTAGCGGTCTGAAGTTTCTTAGCGCGCTGCTACATGGCTAGCGTACATACAACTCTGCCCGACCGATCTTTCCGACCTCATTTCTCGCTCTCGTTCCTTCCAGAGTCCCAGAGGCCGGCCAGCAAGCGGAGAAAGCGAAAGGGTAGCACGTCGGGACCCGGCAACAACGCGCCGCCCGCCCCCAGCAAAAAGAGATCACCGGGCCCCAATTTTTCTCTCGCGTCACAGGTGAGCATTCGTTCGAGCATCGAAACTTGGACATTTCTTCATAAAAAAAAAAAAACCGAATCTCAACGCGCCTTTTCGACTTTCCAGGACGTGATGGTTGTCGGTGAACCGTCGCTGATGGGAGGCGACTTCGGCGAGGAGGACGAGCGGGTGATCACGAGGTTGGAGAACACGCAGTACGACGCCACCAACAGCCTGGACCCGCACAGTCACGACACGCCGGCGGGCCGCCCCCGCACCCCCATCAATTCCACTCGGAACCGACCCCGGGCAACTCTTGGCCCCCGGACCGTGGTCCCGGCCCGCCACAAGGAGGGCCCGGCAGCCAGGTAATTGTCCACCACTCGATCCCCGTTTCGGGAGCGTGCGAGACGCGGGGGGAGGAGAGTCGATGGGTGACGTGCAATGGGGATTGCAGGGAGTTCAAGGTGGGCAGGGTGGCGCAGCAGCGGGTGTACAGGGGACGCAGGACGCCAGTCAACAGCAACAAGACAAGAAGAGTCCCGCGGTGAGCCAGTGAGGCCAGGAGTCCCCGCGCCCCCCCACCAGGGGGCGACGGGGGCGCAGGCCCAAGAACATGGCTCCCTAGCGGGGCGAGAACCCTAACCTCCCCGGCGCCTACTTAGCCTCGACCGGGTGCTCGGCCGGCAGGCTGCCACACGTTGGCCTGTCGCATCCTCTGGCCTGCCATCAGCCTGCCCTGTCCGGCCATCACGCGGAGCAGCAGGTGCAATTGGGCCACGCCGCGGCGGCGGCTGCAGCCGCAGCCTCCATGGGGATGGAGTCCTCGGAGCTGGTCGCGGTCGCCCATTACCAGGCGCAGCAGCTTCAGCGGCAATTGTTGGCCGAGCAGTCGGGTTCGGGCGGCATGCTGCCGCCGGCTGCTGCTCAGCCTACTGGTGGAGGCTTGACGCAGTCGCTACAGCAGCCGCAGCAAGCTCAGTCTCAGGGCCAAGATCCGCTGCAGAGCCTGATGCAACAGCTCATCTGTTTGCAACAGATCGAATACTTTTTCGCACAGCGTGGTCACAAGTGAGAATTTCCAGCCGGAAGGTGGATAACACGATCCGAACGCGAGGAGGGAACCGGCGGGGGTTTCCTTTGCCCCCCCCCCCACCTCGGAGTGAAACGACCAAACGAAGAGACTCTCCGTGAGAAAACGGGAGAGAAACGAGAGAAGAGTGGTGGAGTGCGCGTTTGCATCCACGTTCCAACCACGACGACGAGTTTTCTCCACGTAACGACGATACTTTCCTCTACTCGTGTTGTTGTTGTTGTTGTTGTTGTGATCCACTCTGTTCGAGATATTACGCGCTGTTTACTCGAGGCTGAGAATGGACGCGCATTTCCGTTCGAGGTTTTTCCCGATACGCAGAATAATACATGAATTAATACAGGTACATACCGCGAAACGCAAAATGTATATATATATATATATGTATATGTATACACACACACACACGTATATATATATATATATATGTATGCATATATATATATATATATCTATAGACGCGCAAACACTTATCGTTGGTCGATCCTCGAATGGAGAAAGGGGAGGTGCGCGGTGTCTCCGAATTCGTCGAGCTGCAAGGGAGGCAGCCGATCCGAACGGTCAAATCAAAACGTATCCGCGGCATGACGTTTCGATGTCGGAACGATCCGAAATACCATTAGCGAGAATCGTGAACCAGGCGATCGAGATGATATACAGCAAAGAGGAGGGGGGCTCGATCGTTTAGCGTGTGATAAAACATTATGTCGAATGAAACAAAGTATATAGAAGAAAATGAATATAGAAGAGAATAGGGGAGGATGATTGGACTGTTGGTGAAACGAAATGGAGGAGGAAGGTAGAAGAGGAGGAAGAAGAGGTGTTGGAGGAGGAGGAGGAAGAAGAAGAAGATGAAGACGAAGACGAAGAAGAGGAGGAGGAACACATACGATAAAATGGGGGGATGATGATAAAAAGTTGTAATACGGTACGCCGCGCACGGCAGGGACGATCGTTCGCTCTGGTGCGAGCTGTGAATGAATCTCTATCCGTCAACAGTATTGATATAATTAATAGAATAAATGAATATAAAATATTGTAAGAGGTATATCGTAAGTACGTATTGTGCAAGCGTATGATGCGAGATGTAGGAGAGAGAAAGAGAGCGAAAGCGATGCGTGTGTGCGTGTACGAGAGAGAGAGAGAGAGAGAGAGATGTGATATATCGAATTGGATGATGAGAGGATAATGGGTGTATTAGAGACCGGATTATCTCTTTTTAGATTCGAAATGAATTTTTAAGCGCGGAGCCCGATCGAACGCCAACGCACAGGCCCTGATTGCCCCTGCGTACAACAATCCTTTCGAACGTTTTATCCTTTTTATCGTTGCTATTCTTTACTTTCGATGACGAGAAAGATGATGAGACGAGAGGGACGAAAGTGTTTTTTTTTCTCTCCTCTCGTTCCTCTCCCCGTACGACACGAGACGAGCCCGGAAAAAAATCCGTTTTAATTTTCCAATGTGAACGTTCGAGCGAATCGAGAATCGGTTACTGCACGGAGATATCGTTTCTTTCTTTCTTTGAAAAGGAAAAAAAAGAGGAAAGAAAAGAAAAGAAAAGAAAAGAAAGAAAAAGGGAGAAGTACGGAGAGCGAGAGAGCTGCTCTAAAAAAAAAAAGAAAAAGAAAAAAATCAATTCTCGTTTTCTTCTTCGAGCGCACATCAACTCTCTCGCTGTTCATCGTTTCACGATATTCGTCGGTTTATCACAAGCGCGCGCGCATAAGCGCGTATCCACGTCCAATCAATTGTGTGACCCTAGTTGGAGAGTATAATTTTCATGAGTTTCTACGGTGTGCATGTGTCTTTTTTTTTTTTTTTTCCCGTCGCGCCACAATTGTACAAAGAGCAACGTTTTTCAAAACAAAATTTTCGCGAGACAATTATTGTCGATCGATCGACGATATAATTTTTAAAAGTTTTTGACTTTTTACGATCGAACGAGACACGTATATATATATATATATATCCCCCTCCCCCTCTCTCGAAAATGGGCGGCGAGGAAAAAGAAAGAAAGAAAGAAGAAAAAAAAAAAAGAAGAGAGGCGAAACATTTTATACACGGCACGATTGCGTACGTACACACTGTGAATCATTCTAGCATTAAAGTTCCTTGCGCGTTACGTTCGTACACGATGTTCCTCATTGTATGCTTATATGTTTGTTCCTATTTTTGTATTAATCTTCGTGATTCGTTGTGTTCTCTTCCTTAAGCTGTTAAGCTCGCGCCAAGTATAACGGGGCATTATATCGACGATTTCACTGGTCGTTTTTTTTTTTTTTTTAACTTTCGAATCCTCGTCGCCATACGTTGAACGAATTTCTTCTCGATCAATAAACGCGATCTTCGAATCCGCGTCCTATCTTCTGCTCTCTCTCTCTCTTTCTCTTTCTTTTTCTCTCCTCGCTATTCATTTATTCGTTAATTCGTTCGAATTTTCCTTTCTCTGCTTCTCGCGCGGACCACGAACGTTCACATGTTCCATTCCCTATTCCATTTTTTTTTCTTCACAACGCGTTTTATCGCGCTCGATCATGGAAATTTACAGAATGAAAATCAGCGTGTCCGAATAAATAGGAAATTTCGAAGTTGTTCGCGTGATGTATAATGTATAATCGTCGCTCACAATACGTTACGCTTAATTGTAAGAAGAGAACATTGCTTTAGTTTTATCGAGACGTATATAAATATATATATATATAAATATATATATATATATTTATTAATTTTCTTCTTTTTTCTTCGATTGGTGTCACCACGAGGACATGGTACGAGCTTTGCTTGCGATTGCGATTTTCGAGTGATTATGCGTATTTTTTCCATCGTCGTTCTTTCTTTCGTGGCTCGATTCCTCTTGAAATCACCGCGATATTTTTGCATTTGAAGCATTATTCGAGCAATGGATCAAAGCTGAGACCATCTCAAAACTGAAACCAAATCAAGTTCAATGATATCTCGCCTGGAAATATCTCCGAAAGAAAAAAAAAAAGAAAAAAATTCAGAGAGATTCGAGCCACCCCAAACATCGTTGACACGTTTTAACTTTAAGATGCGCGGGGTCCCGAGCGACTCGGAAAAATTCGGGCGGGATCGGGCGAGATCGCGATATTTCATTATTCGTCCGATCTCGCCCGAATCTCTCCGACTCCCTTGCGATCTTTCGCGATCTCTCCCGATGTTGCCCGAACTTTTCCGATCCGCCGCGAAATTCAAATTCTAACCTCTCTCACCATCCGTTTTTGGCCAACGAGATGGTAACAAAAATGTTATGCTAAAAAAAAAAAAAAAGAAAAATCAAACAAAAGATCATGGCGGGGCACACGGGGACCCCGTCAAAGTTCGACATCGACGAACTCGTGTACTCGTCAGCGAGCAACGCTTCGAAACAAAGGGATTCACGAAGAATAATATAAAGATAGGGGAGAGGGCACGAACGTCGGCGTTTCATCACGTCCATGAACTCTGCGCTTTCGGATGATTTCACTCGAGAAAGAACGTTTTTTGAACGGATCGATTTCGGTGGAAACTTTTTTTTTTCCCCTCCCCCATGAAAATATGTACAAAGTCATCGTATACACGCGTCATGCACGACACGCATTCTCACGTACACATACACACACCACACACACACACCACACACACACAAGTTTATCACTGGGAAGGAGAGCCCGTGCACATGCGCAGATCGTTCTCCTTCCCCCCTTCACTACGTTTTGTTTCGAAGAAAGAGTGAAAGAAAAGAGAGACGGTGCTTTGCGAAAATTTCCAAAAAACCAAAATGGCGGAATGACGAGTTCAACGGAGTTTGTAACGGCTCGCGGTAAGGGGAAGCGCGAGTCGTCGAGAGGCGCATCATACCATGTATACACACCACGTACACAGAGATCACACACTTAACGAGAATCATTGAATTAGATAGATAAGCTACGCGTGATGCCAGTACAGTCCCACGGCGTGATAGTGTGCGAGGAGAGAAAGGAAGGAAGGGAAAAAAAGGAAGGGAGATGAGGAACGAAGAGAGTGCGGTGTTTCTTCTTTAAAAAAAAAAAAATATATATATATATAATAAAAAAAAATAAAAACCGGAAAATTCGAGCGGTATGCCTGACTTCCACTTGCGAACTTTTCAACTGTTCTATTATTCGGGGTGGAGAAGATAACAATTGTGGGAAGGAAGAGAGAAAGAGAGAGTTGTGCGAGCGATTGATTGCGTGTGGCTGCGTCGCGAACGAGAGGCCAGGATGAAATGATGATAAATCGCGCATGCGAGTGTGAGAGGGAGAGGTGTTTTTTTTTTTTTCTTTCTGGGGGCGAGAAAGTAGGATTATTAAACGCAAACCGATTAATTTCGAACACGAGCATGCGGTGGTTTTTAGGATAAATGATCTATTGACAAATGTTGTATATTATTACGAATTATAATGACACTATTATAATTAATTAATTAATTAATTAATTAATTATTATACCCTAATAACGTGAATTGAATTAAAAAAGAAAATGGAAAAAAAAAAATAAAATAAAAAAAATATACAAAGCGACAGAAGACAGAAAGCGGGAAGAATGAAATATATACGCGAGAGATGGGGTGAATAGGAAGATGAAAAGGGGAGAGGGGGGGAGGGGAGAAATAATAATAATAATAATAATAATGAAATAAATAAATAAATGAATGAATAAATAAATAAATAAATAAAAAATAAAACAAATTTTAAATTGTTTGCAAAGCACACACCGGAGGAGATAACGAGCCGAGATTTTCAAGGTTTCGAAATGAAACGCGGGCTGATCGGATTAGCCTCGTTATCGCGTTGTCGGAGTGAACGATGAAAGGGGGAAAAAAAAAAGAGGAAAAAAAAAAACAAGAATAAAGGAAGTCGAAACGAGGAAGTGTTCTGGCGCTGGCGAGACCGAGGAAAAAAAGGACTGCTTATGCTTTGCCAACGAGAAGTGCATCGACCAACTTTCCAACGAAAATAAAACCATTTTCTTCTGTCGAGTTTCTCTCGCTTTCGTACCGCGACCATTACACGCGAACCCTGTACATTCTTCGACTTTGTAAATTTTTCTGCTAGTAAACGAATTCGGATTTTATCCACGTGTGTACTGTTCATTGATCGTCCGTTCGCTCTTCTTGATTCTTCGTCAATAATTATTACACACACACACGCACACACGCTCACGCTCACGCTCACACAACATACACGTACATACATACACCCGCGTTCGAATCTTGGCGATGCATTTTTAGGGTAATAAAAGAAAAAAAAAAAGAGAAAAAAAGATTTATAAGCCAAGACGTGGCGAGGATCGAAACGATTCACATTCACCATTTTCCAGTTTGTTCTTCCTCCTTCTTTCCTTTTCTTTCTTCCTTTTGTAAGATAATATTCGTCAAGATCCAAAGAAAGATCCTTCTTCGCCATCTCGTGATCGAATATAAATTAGAAAGGGAAAGGCACTTGATTGAATTTGACGATTTCGGCGAAGGTAAAAATATCGATGGTAAAAGTGGAGATATCGTATTAATTTGCAAGGAAACGGTGTTCCTTTCGTCGATTCATTTCCTTGTCCTTTGGAATATATATATATATATATATAATAAAAGAAGAAAAACAATGGAAATTTTGCTTTTTTTCTTAATTTTCTTTTTTCAATTACGTTGCTTCGTTCCAATTCTTTGCTCTCCATTTTTAAAAATTTATCGACAATTACATCGTCTCATTTTGACCGCGTAAAAATTAATATGATTATCAACGTAAAAATAACGAAGAATGTCTTCCTTACGATACGTTCAAATTCTGCCAAAATTTTTTCTCCCTGAAAATGCTCTTGAAAATCAATTGCGATTCATAATTCTAAAGAAAAAAAAAAAAAAAAAAAAAAGATATCTTTTTCCGTCCACGCTAGATCCATATGGAAGAATTTGTAAGAGGAAACATCGATCTCGAGTCGAATATCGGCTCGAGAGCAAAGATATCTTACTCAAAACCATTGTTCCCGATTTTTGGATCGATCAAATTTTTAGAAAAAATAAAAATAAAACCTTTCTTCCTCTCATGAGCAATGAAAAATTCGAAAGGTAATCGAGAGATACGTGTTCCTGGCTGATTAGTCTCGATTCCTCCGATATACGATCGAGGATGTATCTCCAAATATATTATTCAGCAACGGGGTCAGTGCTGATCCCCGCAAAACGAGGAAACGCTGTTAATATTGCAAATCGTTTCGATTTATCATCACATTCGGAGCAGGCAAATCACTCTCTCAGCCGTTCCAAATTCTCGGAAATATCCTTTTCTCGTGGAAATCGAGCCGAGCTTCTCCATTCTTTCTCGCAGTGTGTACTCTCGAGTTCGAAAGTTTTCTTTCATAATTTATTTCATCGCGAGATTCGTCGTACATTCGATTCTCGCCACTGATGGCAATAATTTGAAACGTGCTAACAATCCCCTCGTGTCTTGCTTCGTATCATTTCCGCGCGATAATAGTCACGGATGGAAGGATCGTTATCGTTATTAGTAGATTTTCTTCGAGAGATTTATTATTCTTGATATTTTGATTTCGTCGAAGAAAGTATCCGTACTTAGATATTTATTGGATCAGGACACGAGGGGTGCGAACGAAAGGTGTAAGAATGTTAGGGGGGATACGAGGGAGAAGTGCACCGAACGTGTATATAAAATATAACGTCCACAAGCGACGCATACTTGGGCGAATCGTTTGTTCATCTGTAAATATATTCTGTCCTTTGAATTTGGCGCTAATCCGTGCCTATATGGTCGGTGTGAACAATATTCGAGATTCTTGATCAACGCACCGCTTGGTCAATCGGTGGTAATTACTGAGGACCAGTCTTGAGCGACAGGTGTACTCCGATATAGTGTATAAAAGGAAGAGAGAAATGAAGTAGCGAATTAGAGACGATTTAAAAGAGATATCGTAAGGGAAAAAAAAAAAAAAAGAAAATGATAAATGCGATCAAGAAATAATTAACACTTTACCCTCCCTCAGTGGACATGGGCCAGCTCGGTATATTATATTAATATACATTCAAAGTTGACCCATCGCCATGACCAATAGGGTAGTTAAGGGAAAACATAAGAAAGAAAGAAAGAAAAAAAAAAATTATTGTCATCTAATTACATTTTTACGCACTCCAAATTTTTATCCTCGTCATTTGTATCATAGCGACATGTGTTTAAAGAAGAATTCACATTATATGTATGTAATCAAAATTGTAACTGACAAAACGTTAATAAAAAAATGATATTCGAATCGTCGTTTAGGATCTCCTCTTCACGTTCGAAAAAGATAATACGCATTTTATATACGTATAAAACATACATAAATTATCGAATAAGAAAAAAAAAAAATGAACAAATACCTCTAGTTTTTAAACTTTCGCGTTTGATATGCATATAATTTAATTTTACATTGAAATTTAAGTTTCAATTACAATCATTACGAAAATTTTGCAATTTCAAAGGAATTGTCCTACATAAAAAAATTAAAAAACATAATTTTAAAAGAAAAACGATGAGAAGGTTTATTTAATTAATGTCCTGTATCTCGAATAAAATCAAATATAGACAAAGAAACCAAATAGAGGGAGAAAGACAAAGGTAAAGTAAAAAATTCGAACATCAATGCCATCTGTAGAGTGTTGCTTAAAACACGCACAGACATGAGGTGGAGGAACAGACAGGATAAATATAGAATAAGAATTGACTACTAACACCATCTTCTGAAAGTTAAAGATATATATATAACGATAAATGGATAAAACAGATTTATAATCGAAACTCAATCCATAAAGAAGATGCGGAACAGGCATAACACCTTATGAGACATCACATTCCTAGAAAAAAAAAAAAAAATGTTTCGATTTATTAACAGCTAAATGCTTGTTATGAACAAGTTATAACATCATAATTTTTAAAAAATTAAGATGTTATCAATAGTCGAATAAAACTTAGTAATTAAAAAAATAATCGCGCTCGCAGCCAATTAGCTCATATTATTTGCTATAAAATTTATAATTGTATCATTGATACGATTCCTTTTAGTGTACGTTTCCAAAACATTCCAAATTTGGATCGTTTTGCAATCAAACAACAAAAGGAATTCTAAGGAAAACCGACGCGATAAGCTAAAGCTGAAAGTAAAATTAAAATTATATCTTAATCTAACGTATACAACTCTATATGAGACACATATGCAGACATAGATACATACGTATATCAATATTTTATACATTCATTGTCATGAAAATACAAAATATTGATAATATAAAACAAGGTTTTAAACCAAAAAGAGAACAAAAAGTAAATATATTTCACACAGAGTTATATTTATTTTATTGACCACCACCAGTTTTAATACCACCGCTAATATTATTACCATTAATTATGCATGCAGTTACAAATTCTACTTCAAGCAGTTTTTCTACGGCAGCAATTCTACAAGCCAACTACATATATTATAACAATTTCACGAATGAAATTGTGAAATTTTGATTAATTATCTATCCTTAAAAATATGTTAATTCCAAATGTAATTAACAATAATTCTTAAGGATAATCCAAAATACTTAACATAAGTTTACAATTATTTTCTCATATAATAATACAAAGATTTATTTACAGATAGCCGAATTTATTTACAAAAAAATTTCAATAAAATCGAAGGAATTATATAAAAAAACAAATATCTCTCGTTTGATTACATATTCATTTCACACTCATTCTACATTCATTCCATTAATTTCTGATACAAAGAATTAATAAAAATTTTAAGAAATATAAGTTACTACAATAACTTTTTATATAATTCATTTTATATATTATGTAGAAATTTATATTTGTTGAAATTTTTATTAATCTTTTGTGATCTTATACTTATTACTACTTATATATTATAGTCTTATCTTAATTTTAATATCTAATATACAAGTACAATAAATATATAAATAAATTTATTTTTCAATTATTACTACTTATATATTATAGTCTAATTTTAATTTTAATATTTAATATACAAGTACAATAAATATACAAATAAATTTATTTTTCAATTATTACTACTTATATATTATAGTATTATTTTAATTTTAATATCTTATATACAAGTACAATAAATATACAAATAAATTTATTTTTCGATTATAACATCTCAATTTATATTTGTTTTTTTTTAATGCCTTCCTTAATTGCTCAAAGTACCTATGAACTACTTATTTACCTTTATAAAAACCTAAAATATGATTAAGAGGCCTCTTCTACAAAAAGATATCGATATTATTAAGGAAAGGGAAGGGG